AAATAATAGAAGAGAAATGAACTACATGTAGTTTATAACATTAATATGGATAGAGCAAAGGTGTTTAATAAAGAAATATATGAATTCACAAATAAGATTCAAGAATATAATTTAGAATCAGAAAATGAAATAGTTAATTATGAAATGGCTTTAATAAGAAAAGAATTAAAAGAAAAAAAAATAAAAAGAAAGAAGAGAAGATTAAATGCATTAAAAATGATTTATATTAATATATTAGGATATGAAATTGATGTTGGAATTATAGAAATTATTGAGCTATTAAGTAGTAATAAATTTCTTGATAAACAGATTGGATATTTTGCTTTTCAAATGTTATATTCTAATGTACCAGAATCAACTAGAATGATTATTAATACTCTTCAACAAGACTTAGAGAGTTCTAATGAATATATTGTTTCAAATGCATTAACAGTTATTAGTTCATTAGCAAATATTGAAGTTATTGATTCACTTGCACCAAATATTATTAAACTTTGTATTGGATTTAATGAGGATTCAATAAAAAAACGTGGGATACTGACATTAACAAAATTATATAAAATACAACCAAATATTATAATAATAAATCCAAATTTTATGAAAATAATAGAAAAAGAAATGAATTATGAAATGGATTTAGGATTAATTAATAGTATTGTTTTATTATTATCTGAAATTATAAAAAAAAATCCAACTATTGTTCAACCATTTGGAAATAAATTAATAAATATTTTACATAATTTAGTACATCATAAAATAAATATAAATAAAGGAATAGAATATCATGAAATAGTTTCTCCATGGTTACAAATTTCATTATTTAAATTATTATCAAAAATAAAATTGGATTCTTCAGCAAATTCTAAATTTTGGGAACTTGTTGAATTTACATTGAAATATTTTGAACATTTAAAAGAAAAATTACAATCACAAATACATAAAAAATATATTTTAATGGGTTTATTATTTGAAATAGCTTCTATTATTATTAAAAATGAACAAGAACAATTTTTTAATTATCTTCTTCCTTTATTAATTGAATTAATTAAAGAAAAAGATATTAATATTCAATGTCTTACATTAGATATTTTTATTCTTCTTGGAGAAAATAATTATAAACAAATTTGTCAAAAATATCTTGTTGATATTATTAAATGTTTAGAATATTCAGATATTATTAAATGTTTAGAATATTCAGATATTACTATAAAAAGGAGAACTATAGAAGTACTTTATTCTTTATGTACTAAAAATAATATTCGAAATGTTGTTCAACACTTTCTTCTTTTACTTAAAAAGAGTGGAAATGAATTAAAAGAAGAACTTATTATTAAAATTTCATTATTAGCTGAATTAGATAATAAAAAAGATGATTGGTATATTAAACACATGCTTACTACTCTTTATCTTGGTTCAGAATTTATAAGACCAGAACTGTCTGATC